GTTAGAACGGTGGTATGCTGGTAAATGTTTAACAACCAGCTTTCAAAAAAATATGGTTGGGGGAGGAAAGAAGCATTTTTATACAGCATCTACTGTGTGCCAGGCATTGTGATAAGGACTTTTAAAAATGTTATCTCATTTGATCCTTAAAACAACCCTGTAAGGTAGGTGCTATCTCCATTTTACAGTTGAGGAAACTGAGGAAGGTAGAGGTTAAATGATTTTACCCAGGGTGACACAGTTGGTAAGTGTCTGAGGTCAAATTCGAACTCAGATCTTCCTAACTCTAAATCTAGCCCTCTATCCCACTACTAGCTGCCTCTAAAAGACGATGTAGGCTTGACAAACTTTAAAGTTTAATTCGTATTATAAATTTTGTTCACTTTTTTTTTTTTTGCTTTCTGGTGAGGCAATTGGGGTTAAGTGACTTGCCCGGCATCACATAGCTAGTAAGTGTTCAGTGTCTGAGGCTGGATTTGAACTTAGGTCCTCCTGACTCCAAGGCCAGAGCTGTATTCACTGCGCCACCTCGCTGGCCCTGTTCTTCATTTTCTGAAGTCTACACAATCAACACAACAATAAATCAAGCCCTGATTTGTAGCTTGCTGATTTCAGAGGTATAAACAATCACACTGAAAATTTAACAATTGTCTCTCACTGGCTAGAGGGGCAGGCCTGGCGTTAGAACCTCCATTACCGAGATTTCCCCTAAGATTATGAGGGAGGGCTCTTTACTAGGAAGCAATGTCACCTAGAGGCTTTTAGAGCTCTTTACCCATTAGGTAAAGTTTAAACTGCCTGAACTTGAGTAAAATGGAGAGATAACTTTGACAATTCAGGCTAAAATATTACGGTTATGGTAGTAAAAGATAACAAGATAATCTTGTACTCAAATAAAAAAAATATTCTGACCTGAAAAATCTAAATTATCTGAATGTGGCTTTCAATTTTCTTTTATCTAGCTGTTCCCTTTCCTCATCCACCACTCCAATTCAAGTCCTCAGCACTTCTTGCCAGGACCATTGAAAGAGCTTCCTAACTGGTTTCCCTGAATCTGGTCTCTCTCTTACTATCCCATCCTCCATATAGCTATCAAATTCGTATTCTCAAAGTAGATACCTGACCAAGAACTTTCAGTAGCTCTCTCCTACTTCTGGGATTAAACTACAAATCCCTGTTTGGCTTTTAAAGTCCTTCGCAATTTGGCTCCAACCTACTTTTCCAAAATTATTGAACATTTCCTTTATCACAGATTCTATGTTCCAGCCAAACTGACCAATTTGCTATTCTCCCTACATGACAGTTTATCTCCTGTCTATGGGGGATCCGGTAAATTTTTAACAACCTGCTTAGTTGTGGAGGTGGGGTAGGAGGGAGTTAAGGGCTGTTAAGGGGTCCCCTGAACTTGTCTTTTGGAGTTGTCATATTTTTCAGGAACACTGGACCCAGAGCATGCAGGAGGCCCTGAATGTGTCAAGGACAACCCCCACCCCCCACCCAGCTGACATAATTTGTTGTTTGCATCATAAACTGGATACCCTGTGGGTCCTTGGGAGGCAAGACAGGTTCTGGCCAGACTGTGCCAGGCTGGGAAAATGCTTGTGCAGCTGGGGTCCTTTGCAGATAACACGGATCTTCCTATCTTCATAGTCTAGCAGTTCCCAAAGGAAAAGAATGTGACTTGTGCCATCCCCTTGTTGATCCTCCCCTTCGGGATTGGTGCACCTTTCCTCTCCCATGCCACACTCCTCCCTGCATTCTCCTCCTCCTTTTGTTGTATTGTCATAAATACGCAAACTTCTGCAAGAACTGTGAACTCTTTGGGTTCCACATGCATGTTCATTTCTCTTGTAATAAACCTGGATTTCACATAAGTCTCATGGTGTGATTGCTTGTTGACAAGGGAAAGAGCCACATTTTTAAGTTTAATCTACATTATTAGCATTTTCTCCAATACTTGTCTGTGCAATCAACAAAATAATCAATCAAGCCCTGATTTGTGTACTTTTGCTGATTTCTGAGGTATAAATACTCACTGAAAATTTAACAATCGGCTCTCATGAGCATGTTTGAGCTGGCTCCAGCACATCCCTGCTTGCGTCACATACCTCTGAATAGGTCATCTTCTCATGCCTGGAATGCTTTCCCTGCTCTCCTCCATTTCGTGGTCCCTGGTTTCCTTCAAGGTGTCTCCTACTGTAAGTCCCTCTTGATCTGAAATTATTTTATATTTAAATTCTGTTCGTATGAATAGAATGTAAGTTCCTTGAAGGTTTTGCTTTGGTTTTACATCCCCAGAACTTAGCACAATCCCTGGTACTTCTCTTGCTGTTGCTTGCTCGTGTCTGACTCTTCATGACCCCATGGATCAGAGCATGACAGGCCCTTCTGTCCTACACTATCTCTTGAAGTCCGTCCAAGACCTGGCACATAGTTGGCATTTAATAAATGCTTGTTGATGGAATGAGGCAGTGTGGTTCAGTGGAAAGAGCCTAAGTATTTGGAGTCAGAGTAATCTTGACTCTTGGACAAATCACTTAACCTTTCTGGACCTTGGCTTACTTATTTGGAAAATGATGGCATTGACTGCTAAGGTCTCTACTAGTTCTTGTAAACCTGTGATTACAAAATATTTACTGAACACCTTAAGGAACTGACAATTTATTTGGAGATGCAGCGACTAAACATAAAGGTGAGAGTAAGTTAATTAATCAAATGCTATGCCCAGGTACCTTAACTAGGTAGGAACAGCATCTCAACTAATCCAAAGTAATCAAATTCAGTTTGTCAATAATCATTTATTGAATGCCTACCATGTACCAGGTATTGTGCTATTTGGCACAAAGTAGGTGTGGAGAATACAAAAACAATACCACTTACCCCCTTTTAAAGCCAGTTGAATCTGGTTGACTAAATTATATCCATTGACAGGGTAGAAAGCACTAGTTGGGGCTCATGAGATATAGTACTAGAAAAGACAACACTCAACCCCTCGAGGGTACTGCTAGAACTTGGAGAGAAAACAGTAGCAGAGAAATTCCAGAGCCAGCTCTTATCAGCTCATAAAGCTGTTAAATGTTAAAATTTTCAACGTGAACATTTACACCTTGGAAATCCAAATGCCACAAATGGGGGCTTCATTGTTTTATTGACTGTCTAGACTTTAAAAAGTAGTGGATAAAGTAGTCATAATGTGGGTTAAACTTAAAAGTGTGTTGTGCAAAATTTGTTCCCCGGGAGCCTATTGTTAAAGTTTACCAGCATACCTCTGCCGAGTAGCCATGCAGGGAGCACCCAGCTTTGTCAATGCTTAGTCGTCTCAGTGCATATGCAACAGGTGAGCACAATACGGGGTGGAGTAGTCTGGGAAGGTTTAGATGCCTCACGTACTGGGCTGGCACTGGGCTGAGCTGTACCTCAGAAAAGAAGACATAACTTTTATGATATAATCCTCCATGACTTCATCTTCAAAGAACTTATGATCTAATTAGTGAAACCAAATGTACAGAAAACAAAATTTAGAGTACAACCATAACTTAAGAGATTAGCTAGTCTAACCCTCTCTTCTTTAGAAAGAGGAAATTAAGTTCCAGAAAAATAAAGTCACTTAACAACAATTGTTTAGCTAATTAGTGACAACGCTAGGTCTCCTGTATTTCTGTGCAAAGGTACTTTCATAAGACGGAAAACAACAACAACAAAACAATTGGAGAATGATGGTAGCTGCTGTTGTTTGCCCTTCCTTCTTGAAGAGGACCATGCCATGAGGAAGGTGATGCCATGACATACAAGTGAATTGGTTTTGGATGAGGGAGGGCTGTGCAGTCACTTGCCTCACTTTCTCCTCCGGAGCCGTCAGGGTCCAGCGGGGAGACACAGATCAGGATGACTGGGGATGGCCCCATGCTTGAAAACACCTGGAGGGTTCTCCCATCCTTCCCTCTCCATCCTTAGCGCTGCAAGGATCCAGGCACTAAGCGCGGACAGCAGCGCCACCTGCAGATCTCTCGGAGAATGTCAGTCACGCTCCTGGGCAGAGCTCTGAAGCAGTTCAGATGTAGGCAGATCTGGCAGATGCTTTCGTTCCTGCGGTCTCAGAAACTCTGGGTGTGATGCTTTCTAGTAAAGGGCACCCCCTGCCGGGAAGCATGGGGAGGTCTCTGTGACGCGCTCCATAGACCTAACCGGATGTCCTAGAGGAGGGGCGGGGCCAAGCGTGGCGGACTCTCCCCTGAGGGCGGGGCTGGGGCGGCAGTCGTCCTGGGGGCGGAGCTGGCTGTAGTGGGAGCTCCCGCGAGGGCGGGGCCTCTGCGGTGCGTTCAGCCGGGGAGGTCCGCGTGCGCCGCGTACGTCCCGACTGGCGGAGCTGCACGTGCGCTGGTGCGTTGGTGGGTCTGGGCCCCGGGATACGACTTGCGGGTCAGTGAGGGGCTGATGGCATCGGCTGGGGGCGGGGCGAGCTTGGACAGCCGCGTGGACTTGTGCTTCGGGAAGCCCCTGCCGTGAGCCAGGCCTCAGGAGCGGCGGCCGCGCCCACGCCGCTGCTGGGGTCGTGGGGGGAGCTCGATGGCCCCAACAGAGGCATCATTTTACCCAGGAAGAACCTGAAGTTCCAGCCTTCCTGCTCCTAGAAAGGGCCAGGCCTGCAGATTTCCCAAAATTGTTGACGCAGGCATTTCTATGTCGCTTTACCCGTAGCATTCTTGGGGGCCAAAGCTCCGAGGGTGACCGAGTCTTCCATCCCTGCCCCCCGAAAGTGGCAGCCCAGAGGGATCTTAACCCTTCGCTGAGGGCGCCCAGCAGGCTTACGCCATTTTTGCTGGTGGGGCGACCTCTAACCTTCATGTCGTCATCAGTACAGTAGTTGCCTAGGCAACTTTACCAAATAAACTGGTGGTTTCCCTGCTTGTCCTGTGGTCACAGTGAATTTGGGGGCCTTGCTTTGTTGATGTTTGTTCCCCGTGTTAAATATAGGCCCACTGAGTTCAAAGTAAGGATGGAGTTCCTTTGAGCCTTGTTTCAAGGGAGGCACTTCTTAGTATAAATTGAACCATGTAGGGTAAACATGTGGGTTCTAGGTTTTTGGATTTCATAGAATTCCAGTGTGGCAAGGAACCCTTTCTGATCCATTAGCCCAGTCCTCTCTTACAGATGAAGAGCTGAGGGCTGCCAAGGTTGTAATTTATCCCAACATTAAGCAACCAGAATAGGACAGAACCTCTTATGATTTTTATATTTCTAATTGAATTTTCTTTCCAGTACATAAACCCAGAAGCTTGGTGAATTCTAGGTCCTGTCAAGTTTTCTTCCCAGATTTGTAATCTATATAAAAGCATATACTTGAAGCTTCTGCCACATGTTTTGGGTGGCTTTTGTACTACTTTGGATGAACATAAAGATAGTTATTTTTGCCTGGATGTTTGTAAGGAGATGACTCCATATGGGAAAGAAAGGAAATGGAGTTTGTCATATTTAAATATTAACTCAATGCCTTTATTTTTTTTCAGGAATTGCCACTTTGTTCAACCCACTGAGGTAACCATTGAATTCCAGCATACCTAGAAAGTGGAGCATTAAGACTGTCCTGTTTTTGGATGATCAGCAAACAACCACCAGATAGGTACTTTTCAAACTTCAGTTTTTTCCTGGGGTAAAATTGGGAATTGTCCAACAATAAGTTTCTCATTAAAAACTGCCAGCAAAACATTTTATTAAGGGCTTACTATATGTGTCAAGCACTGTGCCAAATGCTGAAGATACAAAGAAAGGCAAAAGACAGTTACTGCCCTGAAAGAGCTCACATTCTGAAGGAGACAAACATGCAAACATGGAAGTGATTATATACACATAAGATACATAAAAGTGTAAACTGGAGATCATCTTGCAGTGAATGAAAAGTCAATGGGAAGTCTCATTAGTACATACAAATGAAGAGGAAGTATAAGACTAACAGAGAAATTCTGTTATATTGCCTTTTGTTTTTACATCACATTTCTAGAAATACTCAATAGCCCTTTCCAAGAATTCAGTCTCCCTCACTTCAAACAAAACAATTATGAAATGACCTTGTTTCATGAATGTTGGGTGACACAATATTCTACCCTAGTGTAGTCCCCCAACCTCCTTACTGAGTTAGACATATTTGGGGAAAAGATGAGTGGTCCATAGCATCAACTAAAGCAGATAAGGCAAGAATCCAAACATTTCCTTCCTAGTATTAGGTAGTGAATTGCTTTTTTGGAATGTTATACCAAGAGTTACCTTTTAAATATATGTTCTAAAAACAATTTTAAGAAATGATCAGAAGATTACTTCTAGAAGTTTGGACTTGGCACTCCAAACAAACTGAGTAGCTTAGAATATCCAGCTTTTAAACTGTATAGCTTAGAATTCTCCTTTGTGTTTTCTTAGGCAATGGGGAAGAACAAAGGGAAAGGGCAGAAGATCAAGAATGTCTTTCATATTGCCAGCAAGAATTTGAAAGCCAAGAATAAAGCAAAACCAGTCACCACAAATCTTAAGAAGGTGAGTGTTAAAGAAGTAAATATGATTTTTTTTTACAATCCTCTTTTCATTAAGCACAGGACAGGTGTGAGTTTTTTTTAAAAAACCAAGTCACATTTCTTAAACCATGAGGAATTTCTCAGTCTTCAGCACAAAAAATCCTCCAAAACCAAAAAACCAAACTAGATAAATAAAATTGGCAGGCACATTGTGTCTTAACAGCACATAGCACTCCATGTCCATACTCTCCTCTCTCCAATAAAAGGAGAAAGGTTTGTTAAAAAAAAAAAATCTCTCCTCCAGGCCAAGATCATTCCTTATAATTTATAGCACTGTTTTGTCTTATTGTTCCAGTGAAGGGGTGGGGGCCTCTAGGCTGCAGGTTATTGTACTCATTTTCTTGATTATTTTCTTCACTCTGTGCTGGTTCACATAAACTCTTTTCTAACATTAATTAATGCCATAGTTTGCTTAGTCCTTCCCCAGTAGATGGAAATTCACTTTTACATTTATTTGCTAGAATACTGACATTATGTACTACCTTCAGTATTTAGTTATGTGAGACCTTTCTGTTTTTGACCTTCTTGAAGTCTCTTTTTAGATGGGATGAAGAGGATGATATTCTACAAACTTAAGTGTTCGTATTGTTAAGCAAATTCTTTTAATGTATAAACCAGTAGGCTTTTGAAGTAGGATATAATAGGTAGCTTTAGTTTCTAATGTAATTTTCGAAGATGAACACCTTTCTGTCTGATTAGACTTCTCTTTTTCAGCTTAAGTAATCCTAATTGGTCCTATTTACTACTAAATTCTTTTAATGAACCTTTCCCTTCCCCATGAACTTTTATCATTTGGAAGGCAGTCAGTAATATTTATTGTGTCAACTGTGTGCTAGGCATTATGTTAAGCTTAGCTGGGAATATAATAAAAAGTTTTAAAAGTCACTGCCCTTAAGGAGTTCACTATCAAAATGTTTTTTAGCAACTAAGCCATGTGAAGTTAACCAATCTCAGCAGCTGTAGGGAAGTTTTGAATCCAGGTAGCCCTATTATATGAGTATTGTGTGAAACTCATTGCTTTGTACTTCAAATGAACTCAACTACTTTATGCAGTTTTTTCTTTGAGAGAAATTTTATTGATGATGTAAAAGATGTGCTATCACTTCTTAGTAACAGCTAACTTATAATAAAGGGCCAGAATTTAAAGAATACTTTAAAGGACCAAGTTGTATTACCTAATAACTGCATTTTTTTTATCCCTAAGGCAAAGAAAATAGATAAGATGAAAACTTAGTAAAAATTACAATAAAATTTTTGCATCAATTGATAGCCTGTTCCTTCTAATGTTAAGTAAATCAAACCCCAACACTGGCCATGTTTTTTTTTCTTGTAACATCCTTTAATGCAGGAAATGTGCCAAAATATTACTAAAAACAGTATTTAGGGTAAGAAGAAATGGAGTTCATTTTAAAGAGGAAAAGACTATTTGGTTTGACCAATTGAATGACTAATTAATTCCTTCACATACACAGGTTGCTTTCATTTAAAATATACAGACATTAAAAAAAGAAATAAAAATAAGTGGGGAAAAAACCCCAAAACTAAACTAAAAGTAAAAAAAATGCAGACACGAGTTCATTGTTTTAATGTTAATTGTTTAATGTTTAATTGTTATTTGTTTTAACCACTTTTGCTGGTGTAAACTTTTAGGTAAAGTGCTAATACACTTCAGATTTGGGTTTGGGGATTAAATCTTACTTTCTTTTCTTTAAAAGATAAACGTTGTGAATGAAGAAAAAGCTAGAACTGTAAATGCAGCATTCATAGATATCCAAAAAGAGCTTGCACACTTCTCAAAAAGGCTGTCACTTGAACCATTGCCAAAGCACCTGGTAAGTTTGATAATAACGTTAATTTCCATTATGCATGACACATCTGATTAAATTCCAAGCATTTTTCATTCTATATTCTATCCTATTTTTCATTTACAAAGTGTAATTTAAACAGACTTTGGAACTTAAGCATTTATTATATTTTTAAATGTATGATGGATCAAAGGATATTTGGTTGTAAACATTTGTACTTTTAAAGTAATGTCTAGTAGTAAAAAACTAAATTAGATGAGTGAGAAATATGTACAAAAGTTAATAATTTGTCTGACATTAATAATAACTTTTTCTTCCTCCTAGATTTCTCAGTGCTCTGAAGGGGAAACAATTAGTGTGGATGATGCTACAAGATTAATGGCTCAGTTGTAATATGTATTGGAAGTATTTGGATTCTAAAAAATTGACAACAAAACTGGTGTTTGTACAATTTTATTTTTAAAAAATTCTTTGTTAATGTACAGGCATTGGCACATTTAAATGCAAACTACACAGAGAACTTTCCTAAGATCTAAGAAAGTGGAATGTCTAGAAGTCAACAAAACATGAAAAACTTAAAGTGCTAAAACAGAAGGCACTTCACAAAATTTGTTCACTGAAACAATTTCATGTGTTGGTTTATATCCTTCATTTTGCAAATGGCAGTGAAAAACTAATTAGACTAGAAGGACATAAAAAAATGGACAGCTGGTGGCAGTATTGGTATAAAATTATATTTTAAGTGATAAAAGTCCTAGGTCCTACACAAGGAAAAAATAAGAGGTCTTAGGATGATGATAATAATAATAATGATATGATAACCACTTCCCCATTCCCTCCCCAACAACAATTTTGTAACTGTAATTTTGTTCTGGGAAAAAAACCAGCCAAACAAAAAAACTTGCAAAGTCAGTTTTTGCCTGGAAGAGAACAAAGCCCTTTTGTTCTTTTGGGCACAGTTTTGTGAAGTAAATGATTAAACAAGAGGAAAAATACTCCCAGAGCAATCTAAAAAAGTTGTTACATTCATTATTTTAAATACTTAGGTTATGAAGAACTTGTCTAGGATGTTATGTAGTTAGAGGTAGATAACAGGACAAATAGTTCTCATGGAATCTAATAATTTAGTATCTGTACATCAAAGAGATCACACACTCCTTCATTTTCATCCAGGTTAAAGTTGTAGTCATCAGCAGGGGTAGGAGAGAGCCGTAAGAGGGGAAACACTGTAAGAGAATACATTCAGATTTAGGGGGAACAAGAATTTCAGGATAAGTGAGGGCAAAATATGAATACATCATAAATGATACAGTGAAATGAGGAAGCATATTTGGCACTAAGTCTAGTTCATGCTTAAACACTATGTTAAAGTTTATAAAACATTTTCCCCTCATACTATGGCATGTCATAAAATTCGTCAATCAGTTCTGTTTACTCTTTCTGTTGAGAAGGATGCATTGATTAAGTATCAGTAAGTGAAGGTGTTGGAAACTTAAGTCTTTGCTATGAAACGGGAGGTTTGCATTTCAGTTATTTTTATTTCATGGGCATGAATTATTTTTAAAGCAGCACCTCCTGCTTCCTACCACCTTCCCCCAGTTAACTCTAATGTTTACTAAACCAGACATCTTGAGTGATCCACTAGTTCATACTGGTATCAGTTACTGTCTTGGGATTTGCACCACCCACTCCTAGGTAGGATATTAAAAAGAAGCTTAAGTGTATAGGTAGCAGTGCAGCTGTAGCTGAAAAGGACAACTGCTGAACTGGTGACCAGAGTCCCAAAGACTTGACTATGATTTCACTGCTCTATGGATGGCTAATAGAGAGGCATTAATATGAAATGTATCCACATATCCATAGAGGCAGCATGGTACACAGAAAGTGTTCTGCATCTAAAGTTAAGAGAACCCAAGGTCAAATTCCAACTCTACCACCCATGTGACCTCAGGCAAGTCAAACTCTGGGTCTCAGTTTCTTCATTTGTAACATGAGTTTATACTAAAGGGCCTTGAAAGTCCTTATGATCCTATGAAGTTTGCCACCCTTTAAGTCTTGAAAAAAAAATTAGAATGAACAGAAACTATCTGTAAACGCTGCTATAAATCACACAGAATACAACGCAAAAACTGCCTTTAACTTTTGTCCCAGGATTTTAATCATCCAGAATGGGGCTCTGAATAAAGGAAAAATAAATGTTTTACTGAATAATCAGACAGCTACACTAACAATATCAAAGGGCAAGTGTGTTTCACTTTGCTGAAAAGGAAAAGAAAAAAATAGGAAGTGATGTAATAGTATTTACAGAGGTAGTGTGACCTAGTGAATAGAAAACTAGTCTTTGGAGTCAGGAAGAGGTGGGTTGGCTCTGGCCTCTGTCAGTGCTGGCTGTGTGACTGTGCAAGTCGCTTTAACCTCCAGGTCATAAACCACTAAGAATATAAGCTGCAGAAAAGGTAATCTGCGTTAACAAAGGGGGTTTGGGGTTCCCTGATCTAGGGAAAGTTACTATCACAGGTTCAGTCCCTATCTTACATTTGCATAGTGATTTGCGATTTTGAAGTACTTTATTCTACAACAAAGGGCAGTTGAATGTTAGAAGTATTTAAACTTGGAAAAATCTTATGATGTTCTCTTCTCTAACTTCTAGTGGGGCATTTTATTGCTTAACAGGGAAATAAAAGTAGAAAAAACTCAGATTTGGCAATGTGCCTCTAGAGCAAGCTTTGGAAGGAATCACTGACCCATGTGTTTCAGATTACCTGTTAATGTCATTGACTCATGCTACTGCTATTCTCCGTACCTCCTGCTCTTTAGGGTGGAAACAGGGTTACACATAGGGCCAACAAATGAGAGTCTGGTCAGCAAATGTGAGAAATGCCCCTCACAGAATGGCAATTACTCTTCCCTGATAACTGCCAATCCAAAAAATATATATAGAATTAAAGTCATCACATGTTTATGACTTAAGGAGCAATTAAATATTAATGTAACACTTTCATGAATAGTCACAGCAAGTTAAACATTAAGGGTTAATAATTCACAGAGGTTTTGGAATCATTCACTTCTATAGATTTATTTGAAGATAGTAGTAATAAGTTTAGGCTACTTACCGTCTGAAGACATTAATTCATCAATGATATCACCACTAATACATCCTGTCAAAAAAAAAAGCATATGATGAGGATTTTTTTTGTTATATTTCAAATTAGTTTGTTGCATTTCACTTAGTATCCAATGACAGTGAAAGATGGCTATCGATAAGTAAATAAGAGGTAGCCAAATCAGCAACTCCATTATTATGCAAGGCTCAAATACTGGAACTTTTGAGTTAACTGACTGTTGCTTTAAGAAAATTCCACTTGAGCTGGGTGCATACTGCAGTCCATGCTACTGGGGAGACTGAGGCTAGGTGGTACAGTGGGCTAAGCTGATTAGGTGTGTACACTAAGTGTTGTACCAATTTGATAACCTGATACCAAATTGTGGGGGTCAGGGTAGGGAAGCTAGGCTGCCTAAGTAGAAGCAAACCAGACCAGGTTGGAAACAGCAGGTCAAAGCCAAGCCCAAAAGTGATTACTGACTTCTAGCCTAGGTGAGATAGGCCCAGAGTCAAGAGGAAAAAAAAAACTTAAACCTAAAAGAAAACTTTTAAACAATGCAAGAATGTTTTATTATGTATGGTGTTAAGTTATGGATATTCCATTCCCCAAGACTCACTTGAATTTTGCTTCCTAGTTTTATAATACATATTTCAAAGGAAAACCTCTGCCACAGATAATTAAATATCTATATAACTCTTTGCTGATTAAATCATCTAGATAAGTGGGAGAAATCCTGTTTCGGGAAATCAACAGTTTGAGGATGACAGAGATCAGGGTTCTAGATGAAATGGACCTGAAACATACATACTAGTTACTGGCTAACATACTAGTGGGTGAATACTTCATCTGTGAATTTGGTCCTTTCAGTTCTTACTAAAATGATATTCAATTCTATTTCACTTATATACAGAGTAATCACATAAATAGCACTAAAGCAAAATAAAAGGCACTAGAAAGTTAAAACATGCATTAAAAGTAGTAACAGTCAAGTTATATCCCTCACTTTATACATTTTAACACAGTTGACTATGAGGTATATTTCAATGATGCAAAATCCTCTTCCCATTGACATCCATGACATCTCCATGGAAGAAAACTCAGAAGACTAAACTGAAAACCAAGTGAAAGATTATAAAGTATTGGCTAGTTCCACTTTTGGAGATATGTAGATAAACCTAATTTTGTTTAAAATCTAACTTACTGTACTTCCCTGACTTGTTAGGACCTCTCACCTTCAGACAGTAAAGACAATATTCCCTCTATCCCTGGGAATCTCTCTAACATACTTCTAGAACTTGTAAGCCTAGCCAAATGGGGTAGGAACCACATCTGCTAAAGTTAACCTACAATATCATACTAAAGCAAATAATGTAGCTAGTCTGAAAATTTGAGTAGGTAAGTTTACCTGGAATGGGGCATATTTGTATTGAAGGAAGTAAAGATACCAGAAGAAAAATCAAAATAGAATACTAATTCTCATAGGAATCCAAATTTAGAGCTGGAAGAGAGATTAGGTGGCTTGTCCAAGATTACACAGGTAGTAAGTATTAGAGGTTTGGACCCATGGTCCTTTAACTCGTAAGTCCACTGTTTTTTCCATCATATCAGTTAGCTCAACAGCAAATAGTATTATGTTGGATAGAGGGATGGATATCTATAGATTTTTTTCTTCTGAATGAAAAAAAAAGGGGGGTGGGGGATATTACTCAGTAGTGCTCTAAACTTGAAGTTCATTTTTTATTCCCCCATAGTAACTAGAACAGTGATGATAGTGAGTGGAAAACTGATGGTGTGGAATTTTTTCCCTGTTCTATCACCATTTCCTTGGGGAAAGCTTGAAGCAAAGCACAGCTTCTTTTAGGACAAGTAGCTACAGTTCTGCAGGTAGGATATCTGGTTGGCACTGCAAACTGTACAAGGGCCTAGGGAATAAAGAAAGGAGTGCTCTGAAAACTAGAAGATGCAAGGCTGTTTTTAGAGATAAACCAAGGAAGATGCTATTTTTCCCCTAAGAATTGGGATTTAATTTGAATAGGTAAGAGGGCGAAGAGGACACAGCAGAATACACACTTCCATCTACTTTCCAAAGGGACTTTCATACTCATCCAAAGCACCAAATTCTCATTAATTCCTTATGGAATTCAGTATTTTTTGAGTATTCAAGCCACAGCATTCAAAATAGTAGCATTTTCTATTCCAAAATAATATGGTGATGATTCAGTTATTCATGAACTAATTAGATCTGGTTTATGGATTTTCACCATCTTTTTTCCTTTGCTCCTTCATTTCCTTGTCTGCCAACAACAGTAGTAGTATTCCTTATACAATAGTATCCTTTCATTGCTCATAACCACTCCCACTAGTGGGTAGCTGGGAAG